TGTAGTTCTTTACGTCGCTGTTCAGAGGCCAATTGTTCTTGGTCACTCAACTTTCTACGTCCAACCCCACCCTTACAAATCTTCATCTGCTTTTTTTCCCTTCTGTTCTTATTGAATACGTTTTTCTACGTTTATCAATGTAAGTATTCCTTCGCTTTTCTTTATTTCTTAAATATGTCTGATGTTTTAGTTCTTTACGTTGCTGTTCAGAGGCCAAATGTTCTTGGTCATTCAACTTTTTACGTCCAGCCCCACCCGTGTAAATCTTCGTCTTAAAATCGATCAAAAGTCACTTCTCATACTTTCGTAATCGTAATATATCGAATAAGTATCAGTTTACCTTGTTGGAGTTGGTACTTCAAGGAGTTGATAACGTCTTCTTTCACTTTTCTGATGTTTTAGGCCAACTGTCAGTCAATATTCAAGAATGCTAAGTGCTCCTTCTAGAGCAGTGATAATACGACTGGCTTGATATATTTTAATTTCTTTGTTGTGAAGCGTTATTTGTTTACTCGGCATTGTTGTGTTCCACAACAATTCCGTGTATAAACAAATATAAGGTGACATTGTTGATGACGTCATTTTTTGACGACGACGAAATCAGAAATTTTTATAGTAGATTTTTATAGTAGAAGATTGGTTTTATCTGGATTTAGGGCCAGCTTGTTAGCAGTAAACCATTTACTCATATGAGACAGAATTATGTTTGCTGTTGACCAGAAATCATCAAAAATTTTACTAAAAATTATGACACTTGTGTCATCAGCAAATATTATGGGTTCTGTTAAAGTATTTATTGTTTTTATTTTTATTGTTGGAGGAAGGTCATTTATGTGTATTATGAAAAGTAAGGGCCATAAAAGTGACCCTTGTGGAACTCTATGTTTTATTGTTCCCCAGTTTGAGAAAAAATTTCGTTTGTTTTTAGGTGCTTTTACTTCGATCTTTTGTAATTTGTAAAACTGCAAATTGCATAATGTAGGAAAACGGTGTTAGATTATTTTATGTTTATCTCGATAATGATTAGGTCTGCATGCAGTATTTCATTCGAAATATACTGAGAATGAATTCGAATGCCTTAGGTATCGATTCTATGTTATACGACGCTTTGCTCTGAATACATTGACCATAAAAAACTTGAAAACTTCACAAAAGCACGTGTGAAGCAAGACGTTGTAATATGATAATAGTGGTAAAATATTTTTAATATTGAAGAATGACTTAATTGAATAATATCCTTTCAGATGCAAATGAAAAGTTCTCCTTCTCCTTCTTTTATGGATTTAGGCCATAGCGCCTGTTCCCACATCAAGAGAGCGAGTCTTGCCACCTTGTTAATGGGCAGCCAACAGTTCTTCGTCCTTGTGGGTTGTATTGAAGTACTGTCTTCGGGATTCTTTCCTCATGCATCCTTTGGATATGGTTATGCCAATTTTGCTTCATTTCAGATATCCTATCTGTTAAGTTAAAACTCTTCAGTTCAGTCCCAATTTTGTCGCTACGCTGTTTATCCAGAAGAGTTACACCCGCTACCGAACGTAAGAATTTCATCTCCGCAGTCTCGATTTTCCTCATATCAGCCCAGTTCTCACAGCCAAATGTTAGTACCGGTACTGCCATCAATTTGTAAAATTTCATTTGTGTTTCTTTTAGCGTCAAATGAAAAGTTGCGTAGTTGAATAGGAAACTGAGCATGCAAACAGCACAAGGTAAACATGTCAACATCACACGTAGCATTACTAACCTGGAACGCTATCACACATGTCAAATATTTTTGTTCCACTAAAAAAGCTTTTAATGACTTAAAATATACGTCAAATAATAAGATCACTGATAAGAAATACATGAACATCATGTGGAACTGGATAGCCATGAACTACTTTCAGGGACTATTCGAGCACTTATCCTAAAAAGCCACAAAAAAGCATAATATACGTGTCAAACAACTGATCTTCTAGCCGAAATTAAACCTGACATCTCAAAAATATGACCCACTCGGCTACGATTGTTGACGATACAGTCTAACGTGAATTTCCTGTATTAAACATACACTTGAAAGTATCTTCTGTGTATACCGAACCTCCTTATTTACTTTCCAAAAAAGTAACTCAACGGAAGAGTCTTTCTTTATAAGCTCATTGTCGCCTACCTACTCAGAATTTTAAAACATTTTATAACACTAAAATCCATTACCGTGTATATACGATCCCACCACGAATCCTTATTCTGAGCCCGGTAAACACAGTCCACGATGTTTTTGAGATCGACTATAATATTATGCCCCATCTACCTATAAATCTTCCGAGTAATTTCTTCGCTTCAGAATTTATCGAAACAAGTTTGTGTGTTGTGGCTACATTAGCCTTGACCAAACATATGCGTTCAAAATTATAAATATCTTCTACATAAGAATTTAAACAAAGACTAAATTGAGTCAGTTCCTTTTCGGATCACACCCGTAATAAATATTACAACATTTTTTGTTTTGATCTTTCGAACACATTTATTACGAAAGGAAGCATAGCTTTGGGAATATGAAATCCAATGTTTATGCATTTAATAAGAGATGTTTATTTGTTGTTAAAGTCATATTTATCGACTTGGTCTTGCTTTATTCTTTACCGAACGACAGCAAGCAGAAGGGCACCACTTATTATGCATCTCACTAGTGACAGTGATACAGTCTACGAAAAGTATTTTAGGCGGCCAGTATTTAAACAAAAGGAACAGTTATCCTCTCAGAATATATTTTATCACACTTAGCTAAGTTTCTTCTGTTTCATGCAAGTTATAAAAGAGAATCAAACAAGTTAATAATCGTAGTTGACTTTGTACAGTGCAGTGGTATGTAAATAGACCAGCCGAGAGCCGTAGTGATATTCAAATGGGACCGCAATGGATTAAGGTTTATTGGGATACTATTGGTTGTTTATTTAAGACTATGCTGCCATGAGCAAACCAATGATTCAGCTGATCAGAAAGGATGTAAAATTTGAATGAATCAGCACTTAGCAAGAGACTTTCGACAGTCTCAAGCTCGCGCTGACCTTTGAATTAGTGTTGGTATACTTACCAACCAACCAACGAAAAAGCTAACTAAGGGTGGAGTCCTGCGCAAGCGCAAGACATCGTCCCTTCCTAGGTAACACCATTCCTGCGTACGAAACGCATTGCTGGAAATGGTAAACAGAGCCTCGAAATTGAAACTGGACTTTGCTAACGCTAACGGGGTTCTGTCGTGGCGGAAGCCTCGACCATTCAAACTAGGGTCTGTTGCTGCTGAAATTTTGGTTGGTTCGTTCTCTGGGGTTTGAACTCAGAGGGGGGTGGGGCGTTTCGGCTGAAGTCCTCCGTGATCGGTGGTGGCGGGCCGTGCCCCTATTAAATT